ATATACCAGTGTTTCTGAAGGTTATCATCCAACACGTTGTTTGAACATCTACCATTATATTGATTAGGATATTTCCTCTATAGTATTTCTGCTGTAGTTATGACAAGGCTATATTATATTATAAGTTATATAATTCTTTTTTACTGAGTGTTGAAATTAAATCACTATCCCAGGTTAATTTTTTTTAATCCAGATTTAATTTTCAAGAATTATATATCTTCAATAAAAACAACAGATAATGAGAAGAAAAATGAAGGGGGAAGATATGATTTAAAATATGATTTAATCTTAATTTTGTGTATTTAAATTTTTAGTTAAAGTTAAAATAATTTAATTAATTAAATATCTAAGGCCCCTCTAATGACCCACTGCAACCCTTATGAAAATTAACATGGTTTTACTACAAAAACCATAGTTTAACCATGGTATTTGTAGTAAAACTGTGGTTTTACTACTGCGTTAGGCTAACCGAGACTTGTCATTTGCACTTATATATTGTTGCTCTTTTGTTAGTTTTGACTGCTTTTATTGTCCTCATTTGTAAGTCGCTTTGGATAAAAGCGTCTGCTAAATGATTAAATAAAATAAATAAATACAAATGTAATCAATACGCCAAAAAAAACATGGTTACCACACTTTTACTATAATAAAACCATGGTTAATTTTCGCAAGGGTACACTGTGTCTGCCATTGTGAATTTTTAAAGAATGGAGCTTTTTTTTTTTATTACAAAGTAACTTTTACTGTTTGTCAGTTAAGGGAAATTGCATATCAAATGCATATCCTCTTATTTGTTGTCGCTGTTAGCTTTAGCATGTTAGCTTAAGCTGAGACCAAGATCCACATGAGGGATTATTGTGCATTTTGTACATGCAAATAAATCACACAATATGAGGTGATGATAAAGCATTAAACTTATTTGTAAGATGCTGTCTTCTTCATAAAAGTTCCAAACAATATTTTCTCAGGCCAGTATTGTGGCCTACATCATCTGAGTGTGAATATACTGCTCACACTGCTTACACTACTAGTATTGCCAAAGTATGCAAAATGTGACAAAGAAACCTGGTTCATGCCAGTCTGAAAAAGTGAAACAAAACAGTTTAAAGAACAGTATGGCATCTGTCCACACACATATCCTGTCTGCCCACAGCCATACCTCTGCTAGAGCAAGATGAGGTGAAATGTGTGTATGTCTGACAGAGATCCACTGAGTGAGATGAATTTTTGTTTTGTCCTGAGAAATGTAAAAGTATCCTACATAATTCAGCTCTTTGTTCCATCAGTGACCTGGAGAAGGTCAAAAAGCTTTTTCTCCATTTACCAGCAGACTTCAAAGGGCTTGTGTGTGCATTTGACAGAGAATATGTAAAACTGTGGGTTGCACTAGATGAAAGCGATCATCATTCATGTGAGAGAAACACAAAGGGACAGATAGAAAGACAGCGAGCGGGAAAGGAGGAAGTATGTTTCTGTATTAGAGACAGTGAGAGACTTTATTTATGTGATGCCTGGTACAAGCTGGTTTATGCTAGTTCAGTCTAGCTGGTCCAGTAAAAAATGTCTTTCTGATTTGTCTTTCTGATGAAACTGGATGACCAAGCATACCAACATCTCATGTTGGGCATCCAAAACAAAGGAGCCTGTATATAAATATACTTGCTGTGGCACCCCTTGATGAAGGGTAGTAGTTTTTCACTGCTGTGTTATCCAAACACATCTTGTTGTTCCTCTCTGAAAAACGTCCCAAGTCGTTCAGCCCTGAAACCCCTTTCCTCAGGAACAGTTCTCTCTGCCAAAAAACATGTAGCTCTGCCTGAATGTGGCCCGTACTGTCTAACCCTGAACCACATTTCACACATGGGTCACAGCCGACTGGCACTCTGTTCATATCCAATCGCATTCCTGTGAGTATGGCCCAACTCTTCAATCCCTCCATCCATGGCACAAGCCAAAAATAGATCACAATGTTCTTGTTCGGGTTTAAATTTCATGTGTTTGTTACTCTCAGAGTGCAAAGCTACATTCACAACGTTTAGAAGAACAAAATCCACAACGGTTCATAATTATAGTCCATTACTCAATCAAGCCCATTAAAAACAACTGAGGCACAGTGTTTCCAGACATCTTAATTGTTTATGCGTCTATTGTAAGTGATTCACAAGTACACCACAGCAAGTGAAAACTCGCCAATCATGAAACGCTTAAACAGACCATTGGAATATTCTGCAACATCCAACATTATCTGCATCTGCCCATCACTAGCCCTCTGTGGCAAGAAATTCAAAATATAGTATCGTTCCTTGAATGAATAGTACAATAGTTTTCTTCCTGTGCAGAGGCATGCTGAATCTTAGAGTTTGGGTGCTGTGCTCATGCATTTGTGCAAAACCTGTGGTTTCCTCAAAGAAAAAAAAGTCATTGTTCACTCCCTTAAGTTACATCTCCATTACGATAATTTTTTTTATGTAATTTCCTCTTCCTCCTGTCTGTTCCTTCAATCACAGTGAAATTCAGAACGCATAAAATGGTAAAAGAACCAGTCTGAACTAAAGAATCAGTCTGTGTAATTTAGCCATTAATCACTTCTGTGCCCATAAATTGCACTTCACCCTGCATGTTAGATAACCAAACTAGTGTCATTCAGTTATGCAGACATCAGTTCATTCTGTCTTAATATCATTTTCCATAGTGTCGTCAGTTATACCTCCCTCTAGAAAACTTGCGTCAACACAGAATGAAGCATGCATATAAATGCATTGTTGCTTTTTTTTAATCAAATTTATTGAGCATGAATAATGTTATTTAACATGACAACCCTCTTGTTTTTTGTATGTACCTGAGTGTATCTTTTGTACTGTAAATTGTACTGTGGATGGTTGGAATTTTACAGGGCAAAAAAATGACAAATGTGACAGAAAGCTCCTGTAATGCATGTATGTCTACTGTTGGACATTGTAAATTTACAAATTAAATAGTTAATGGCCATAGATAAAGAAACGCCCAGCAATGAAATGAGGTTTATGAATCATGTTCATACATTCTTATTAAATACTGCAGTACTATCGTGAAATATCCACCAGCAAATGTAGTCGTTTTGTTTTTGTACTGATTTGCAGCACTAGCCAATAGAATGCTTTGAAACAAGAGGAGGGTACTACACTGAAGGGACTTACCTATATGGCCATCTGTCAGAGCTCCATGTTGTACAACAGGCGCTTTCCATGTGTGGAAAACGCAAGCGGCTGTGCTATGCAGCTCTGGAGCTGTGTTAGTTAGATAATGTTCTTAATATCCCCTTATTGGGTGCTATAAATTCAGAAGTCCTGGTATTGTAACATCTGCATTGAAACTTACATCACTATTTCAGCAGCGGCTCAGGTTCCAAAAATGGGTCATGGGTCAGTTCTGACGGTCATCCATAGCAGGGAAAAACAATGAATGTGAAAAAAATGCAGCTAATCTTTTTGGTGCATACAACAGCAAACCATGTATGATTATATAAAAGTTACAGCCTTCAAATAATATATCCACTGCAGATTACATTAATTACAGGTGCAGTTGAAATTATGATAAATATGATTTAAGCAGTCCACACACAGCATCCTTTGTATGGTGCCAATTACTGCTGAACCCAACAAAATTCAGCAAGTGCAAAAACCAAGCATGTTGATGTTTCAAATTCTCCATATTGAGTCTATGTAATTAATAGTATTAATTCTAAAATAATTTAATTGTTAACATGCAGAATCACCAATTGTCCACCAATATACAGTGTAATATCCAGGTTACAAAGTAAAACCAGGTAAAAACCACTGCATCCTCCAGCAAAAGGACAATCTAGATCACTTTGAAGTACATTTGACTCTAGAATCTTATGCCTTGAATTCAAACTTAATACACCACTTTGTCTTAGACTTACATGGATACAGGTGCATCTCAATAAATTAGAATGTCGTGGAAAAGTTCATTTATTTCAGTAATTCAACTCAAATTGTGAAACTTGTGTATTAAATAAATTCAATGCACACAGACTGAAGTAGTTTAAGTCTTTGGTTCTTTTAATTGTGATGATTTTGGCTCACATTTAACAAAAACCCACCAACAAATTAGAATACTTCATAAGACCAATAAAAAAAAACATTTTTAGGGGAGCACTTCATGTTTCCTTCTGCTGACCAGCTTTTTGAAGATGCGGATTTCATTTTCCAGGAGGATTTGGCACCTGCCCACACTGCCAAAAGCACCAAAAGTTGGTTAAATGACCATGGTGTTGGTGTGCTTGACTGGCCAGCAAACTCACCAGACCTGAACCCCATAGAGAATCTATGGGGTATTGTCAAGAGGAAAATGAGAAACAAGAGACCAAAAAATGCAGATGAGCTGAAGGCCACTGTCAAAGAAACCTGGGCTTCCATACCAGCTCAGCAGTGCCACAAACTGATCACCTCCATGCCACGCCGAATTGAGGCAGTAATTAAAGCAAAAGGAGCCCCTACCAAGTATTGAGTACATGTACAGTAAATGAACATACTTTCCAGAAGGTCAACAATTCACTAAAAATGTTTTTTTTTATTGGTCTTATGAAGTATTCTAATTTAAGTGAATTGGTGGATTTGTTAAATGTGAGCCAAAAATCACAATTAAAAGAACCAAAAGACTTAAACTACTTCAGTCTGTGTGCATTGAATTTGTTTAATACACGAGTTTCACAATTGGAGTCGAATTACTGAAATAAATGAACTTTTCCACGACATTCTAATTTATTGAGATGCACCTGTACTAGTGATTCAACTAAACCGATTTGATTTACAAATCTCCCATTTGAATGACTGCAAAAGCATCAGTAGTTAAACCTCCAAACACTTAGACAGATCAGTCTAAATAGTTAATTTGCAGAGGTTTCCTCCAAGGAAACAAAAGGCATAGAAGTCATGGCCAAGACAGTAAATTCTTTCCTCCAAGGATCATGATCCATGACTCGGTTAAGAACAGGAGAATTTTTTTTTTTTACAAGCATCTTTCTTTATTGGTAACAATTAATGCATAGCAAACATGCAATACAAACACATGGTTTAACAAACACCACCACTCATTTCAGATGTTCTCCAAACATGGCAATAAAACTAGCTGTACTCAAGTTGCATCACTGCCGATGAACAAGCAACCAGTCACCGAATACATGTGCCCCAAGATGAAGCCATCAATCTGTCAAGAGAGAGGAAAAACCTTAATTAAATTTCAACTCAGACAAACCAGGTTACTTAAACATTGCCTGCATTTAATTCTTATATTTGCATGTGTCTTGCGACAGGATCCAGGCATAGAGAAGTGACCTCTGACCCAGGTTTTAGCAAGAGTAGCTCACTGTACCCCCCTGATATGGCCACTAGAAACACAGACAGCCTCCAGTGGGCAAAGCATAGGAGGGAGCATGAGACTAGATCAAACTGGTTGCATGAATGTGTTGATGAGACCAAGTTACTCACCTAATGACTATAGTGCTTACATTCTCCACCGTTAGCTGCAAAATACAAATGTAGACTGAGATAACAAGCATCTTTAAACACAATTAGCAAGGCTAACGATTACTAAATTAAAAAAAAAAAAAAAAATTTTAATTAAAAAAAAAAAAAAAAAAAAAAAAAAAAAAAAGTATAATACATATACAAAATATGTTTCTCCCGACAGGATCCGAAGCAAGGATTATTAAGCCAATACTTCAGGTTTTTGAGAGATTTCATTTAGCCCCCCCGTGTCGATCATTCAAGACATAATAGGACTTGAATGTGCAATAAAAGGGGCTGAAAACTAGAATAGTGTAATTAAATCGCTTACCAAGTAACAGTTAGAGAATGATTCTTCAGCAAAACTGAGGCCTCATGGCTGAAACAATATTTGAGCCTAGACATTAAAACACAAAGGGCACAAGTAATCAAAATACACATACTAATTTTACTGCTTTCCTTTTAGCAAGATCTACAGTAATGAGACGGTTTCTCTAACCACTTTTGTTAGTGAATGAGAATCTTAAACCGTTAATAAACACTTCCTTACCTTTATAGGCAAAACAACGTAGAAACTTTAAAGTTTCTTCAGTCAGGGGGTTTAGATGGACAATCTATTAAAGAAAATGGACGCAATCAACATCAGCAGGCATACAGACAGGCCTTACATTCACCACGTGCATTCTCGAGCCACACGTGGCCTTCCACCACAACTTAATATTTCTATAGTTATGATCATGGCTTGGCAGCAAGTTGTACAACACTTTTATAGAGCATCTTTTGTTTTACTCTGAAAATTATTTTACTACCTTTCTAAACAATTAAAAAGCTCACTGTTAACGGTTCTGGTAAACTAAACTTGACTATTTGCGACCCGACGTGTACATGTTGTGTTTATGTGTAAGTGTAAAACAAAGCATAGCTTCAGGTAAATAAGAAACTACACAAATATCTGAACAAAGACACTTACCAACACCCCTACTGCATCCGCTCATGCTGTCTCCAACCGACCGCGTGATCTTGTGCAAGAAGCAATGAACACGTGTGACCGCCGGTGCGAAGCATTCTGGGATATTTAAAGGGGAAGGACCGGAAAGACCGCCTACCGTTCATTCCAGCGAATCGGCTCTTTCTAGTAGTTCATTCAAAAATAAAAACGACTCCTACAAACGCTCGGACGATTCTGTCTGATTGATGAACAAATCACTCCAACAGTTATGGAAAAAGATTCAACTCTAATCTCAGTCTAGCGGTAAAATATCAGCAGGGCATATGAGACGGTGTTTTTAAAAAAAGACTCTACACTAACACCATGTTCACAAACTATTACTCGAGAAATTCTCTTTTTATACTTTCGCATTTAAACTACTGGGGCCTAATATTATTTATATGCATAAATGTATGGAATGCACAAGAGTACTTAATTATTACCGATTGAAAGAGAATATATCATTTAGCGTTGCAATGTCCTCAAACTTCATTTATGCGGTTTGAATGTACTGTGGAGTTGTGAATTGTGCATCTACAAATTCTATTGGCCACAACGATAGTTCGAACGAAGTTTGTGCTCAGTGAGAAGCTGGGTCGGATGGCGGCAAACGCAGCGAAATCAATAATGACAAAATATAGAAGTCATCGTAATGGAAATGGATCAGAGACACTAGATAGTATCGATGAAACAGATAAGGAGGATGACCAAATGGAGTCAGGAAGGACAGAAGAAGAAGAGTCCGCCGTAAAGCAACAAGAAGAAGAAGAAGAAGATAGTTCGAACGCATGTTTTCGACATTCATTGGTGACTCAATCTGTCAATCAACTGAGCAGCGTTTCATGTCGTAGACACCAAATGCACCAATTGCGTCCAAGTGGGCGGGGTTTGACCGCTAATCCAGGATGTGAATGTTTTGTTTAGTCCGTGCAAGTGGCAAAGATGTTTAAAATAAATATATTCTGCATTTTTATTCTTAGTTGCAGTGACCATGAAGAAATCAACTAGATGAAAGCTGCAGACGTTTATCTCTCGCGTTGTCTGCACTTTGCATGAGCAGAGGGGATTGAATGGTCACTGATTGCTGTCCTCGGTTGGGATTGCGGCTTGGCCTGTCAGTGTACCGCTGTTACAGTCATGTTTATTTCATAAAGATGGCAACGAGGGGCACATTATAAACTAAATGACTGTCAGAAACATCGCCTCCATCTGTAATATGGTAAGTATAGGGTGTGGATAGCGTGCTGGCTAGCTCTTACGTAATGATGGTGGTTGAATGGCTTTCCTCACAATCAGGTGCATGACCTCATTTATGAGCTGCTGTATGCATGGATCACCTCTGTACTGAATCTTCTATCATATCTAGGCATATTTACTCGCTCAAATAATAAACTGAGACTAGAAGTGTAAGAAATTGCTTATACTGACTTTACAATATAGCAGAATCAGTGATGCACTTTTTATGTTGTGATAGCTCAGGTTAGTATCTGTGTTGTTAATCTTGCATTTTAAAAGATAAAACAGTGATAATTAGTAGGCTAATCTGTGTTTAAGGGGGCTTTCTGTAGTTGTTTTACTTCCTGGGTGTCTGTGTGCTTTACATAAACATTTACTGCCTCTGTGTTGCTCTGTTGTCATTTTGATAGTATGAGCATGTTTCAAAAATGTTACTTTTTGAAATATTATAATATATGAAGCTTCTCTAAATAATATAGTTCCCACAAAATGAAAATTGTTATAATGTACGGGTCGCTTCTTTCTGTGCAGTTTGAATGAATGGTCAAAAAAAAATTAAACAACACCCTAAAAGCAGCATCATCTTTTGAAGTCATATGATAGCTTTGTGAGCTGTCATCTGCTGAAATGGGATTGAGCTGAACAGTACTGGATAGGTCTTATTCTTGCTATTATGAACTAGATGTGTTATTTTTTAGTATTAATTATATACTATTATAGTATTTACTAATATTTAGAATTAGCTTCTGTTTTAATGTTTTCAGTTTTCTTTTTCTTTTTTAGTGTTAGTAATTTGTCTAGTGCTTTTGTCATTTTTATTCCATGACTGCACTAAGGATAGAGTAAATGTCAAAACATTGAACAATGAAATAAATTTCAGTCTGAGTTCATCCCAAAAAAATATCATATGGCTTAAGGACCATCACTGTAAATATACTTCTTTTAAGCAAGAAAGTTCCTACAATTTTGTACTTAATCTCTCTGTAGTGCTTTTCTTTTGCCATTTTAACAGTTTTAAGATGGCTAATGGGAGCAGAGCCCAGTGTTTTATGTAATGCTGTAGTTTCTGTGGGATATCCGATATTTAGTGCCTGTAACTGGCCTGAAGCCTCTATCCACTGTCAGATGTCATCCGCAGATAACTGCAGGTATTGTGTCAGTCTGAGCTAGATGTGGTTAGGAACAAGAAGAGTGAAGTATTGCCAGCATGAAGGGGCACAGACTTGACGTCTGACGGCTGTTTAGAGCTAGTTATGTAACCAATGGCCGGACAGGGTTCATTTGTTCATCGGTGTGTGTTTGGGGCCACATCTTAGTGGCTCATTGACCACAGATACAAGGCAAGCTAATGAAATGTTCTCCTTTATGTCTTCCATGTTCAGTTCTGCTTAAATGGCCTCAATTAATGTGTATTTGGTGTGCACAAATGCAGACCTGTCTTTTAGTTTGAAAACATGGCTCTATTAACTGTACTTTAGTTTGAGAACATTCGTCTATTACCTGTGTCTGGCAACATATTGCCTTATATGTTTTTGTGTTTGTGTACATGCTCATTTATGTGCTGTGGAAGGTTTCTAAGCAAAAACAAAGAAGACGGCCTAGCTGTATTGTAGTCAACAAGAAAATTCCCCCCATTTATGAAGTCAAATTTTGGCAAAAGTATCTTTACATTGTTTAGCCAACATAATGCCACTTCATTTTTCAAAGCCTGTGAGCTCAGAGGATTCGATAGCCCTCATGAACAAATGCAGCCTATTACTTGCCTGTTGTTAATTATTATGGCCTACAAATATTCAAGCTCTTAAGTCTGTCTTGCACAATAGGCAATGAAGATCTATTAGTGCTGGAATTGAAGGTCTTTGTGGATTCATATTTCCTACAGATAAAAAGGTTGCTGTCTCGGTCGGGTTAATAACACTAAACTAGACAATGCAGAGATACGGAGTTCGGCTATTTCCCATCTTTCAACTGTCAGTCATGGTCTTGACTTCATTGGTGTATGATTTGATCTCTGGATCTGATAGTGGTTTTTAGTCATTACCTGATCTGCTCATTCAGAGATACTCGGGTTCTAAAGATGTGTTGGGTTATTAAAGGGCTGCCATAAGCACTACTATTCAAAAGTCTGGGGTCAGTAAGTATTTAATGCTTCTGAAAGAAGTATTTTATGCTGACCACGGCTGCATGTATTTGATTAAAATATACAGTAGAAACAATATTGACCAAATAACTTTTTTTTTTATTTTAATGTATTTGAAATGTCCTTAATTTCTGTGTCGGCTAAGCTGAATTTCCAGCAGCCATTACTAAGTTAAGTTAAGGTAAGTGTTTCTTATTATTATCATCATTAATGTAGAAAACAGTTTCTCTTGATATTTTTGTGGAAACTGTGATACTTTTTGTTGTTCAAAGAAAGTTCAAAATAACAGCATTTAAAAAATGGAAATCTAAATATCAACAATATAACAATATAAATATCTTTACTGTCACTGTTGATCAATTTAATGTCTCAATGCTGAATAAAAGTATTAATTTCTTTTTTTTTTTAAATCATACTGACCCCAAACATTTGAACCGTAGCGTGCAGTTTTTTGAAAAAACAACAAAATAAATAAAAAATAAAGGGCAATATGTCCCCTGAAATTGCCACCTTTTTTACATTTTTAGGGGATTACATTTTTATGATTATTATAATATATTATTATATTTGTATATCCATACAAAACTACACTACTTTAATCTGTAACCTGAAATACATTCTTAATTTGAACAATTATGGCTGTTAAGCAATAAAATAAAACTAACATCAAATTCAAAATGAGCTGTTATTAATGATATCATTACACAGTAATCCCTCATTATTGGAGCATTTTGTCTTCAAATTTTAAAGGTGTTGTATCATATGGAATAACATCTTCCCTAATCTTTTGTTAGTCTATGACACATACATTAAATGCCAGAACTGAAAACATCCTCTGCATTTATTGAAACTGGTTTGCAAAATGTCTTGGGGTTTCTAATGTCTGATGCCAAAACTGTCTGATGCCAAAACATGCTAAAAATAAGACCACCGTATTTACATATTACTGAATAATAAATATATAAGACATGCCTTCAAATCACTTTATCATTTTGTCATATTCAGTGACATTTCTGGCAATTTCTAGGTAAAATGTCAAAGAATAAAAAGTGAATACATGTAATACATACAGTAGATGTGGCTAGTACCTTTTGAACAGCGAATTTATCTCTTGTGATCTGTCACTGCTTTCAGTGTTAGAAGAGAAAACGTCTGGAGTCCCATTGTACTGAGGCCAAAGTGAAACTCTGAGCTTGTCCTGCTGATTCAGTTACATTCTGTCATGGATTCTTATCCAGCATCACTTCCTGCTTAGTTGTTCTATACATTATTCATATCACCCAGTTGCTGATAAATTAGACCATTACAACACTTGATCCTTGATTATCAGTGTGAATGGTTTGGATTTCAAACAACATATACCTAACTGCCCATGGATTTTTTTTGCAGTTATTGTGAATGTTATCAGCAGTTGAACATAGTTATTGTTTGTATAAAAAAAGATTTATTTTTTTTTGTTTCTAAATGACTAAAACCAGAACACCTCTCTGTATTCACTTTTAGCATGGGTATTTATTGATAGTATTCCACACGTGGCAATGGCATGTGAATTAAGAAAGCCATAATTATGTCTTACCGACTGCTAATGATATAGTGCTATAAAAAGCAAACAAGAAGTGTAGGTTATTGTGTCACTTGCAGCATCATAAACGAGCTGAGTCATTCTCCAGCAGTACATGGTGATTTTGTACTTCATATTTTCATTTTGGTGGCTTAATGTCACGTCATGGAGTTTTAGAGAAAGAAAACTTTAGACAAATGTCTTTAGCTGTGAGTCTTCTCACTTTGTCTTAAAATGTGATGTATGAGAATGAATATTCAATGTAAAATTAAAGTGTAATTGCCAAGTCTTTTACTTTTTCCTCTCAATTTCTGTTTCAGGGCACCAATGCCTCTGCTCTGGAGAAAGACATTGGTCCAGAGCAGTTCCCCATTAATGAACACTACTTTGGATTGGTCAACGTAAGTATCACACAGCGCCAGACTAACCCTTAAACAGACATGGCTTTACATGTGAGCCAGTGGGAGCAAAAAAATATTATACACACGGTAACGGTTTGCATATTTGTTCAGTGAAGCATTGAGTAGCTTGGTTTTCTCAGTTTTGTGCATGTTATCTTACCTAACAACTGTCACGGTGCGCACACACTCGAGGAAACGCTGGAGAATACTTAACAGGACTTTATTTGCACGGACCAAGGGAGACGAACTCAGGAAGACATTCAACAGCGGACAGAGAACTAGGGACTGGGAACACTATTTATACACACAGGAGGAGGGGATGACGAGACACACCTGGGAGCAATGGAAATAACAGCGGACAGAGAACTAGGGACTGGGAACACTATTTATACACACAGGAGGAGGGGCTGACGAGACACACCTGGGATCAATGGAAATTAAACATGGGAAACACCTGGGAAGAAATCAACTAAATCAGGACAGGAACAGGAAACAAACCAAATATGGGCACAGGAAGGCACATGGGGAGCAAGACACACACAAAACATGGAACAGAGTCTGACAACAACATTATTCATTGTAAATTTGAGGAAGACCACAGCATCGAAACAAAGCAACCAGCTGAAATGTTTCACTGAGCTGGCGAAAAAGCACAGTTCACAACCTTTGCTAACCATTTAATTTGTTATTTTCAACAGAAGTGAGTGGTTTATTTTGTACTCTTCTGCAAAATATATTAGCATTTGATTTTTTACTGCAGAACATGTCAGCTTGACAAAGCTGAATTTATTCCTGCTGCCATTAGTGCAGCTGGTGTGATTAATGAACATGTTACTGTTCAGTCTTATAGCTGAATCTTTCAGGTCAAGCTGCCGAGCAGTTAATTCAGTAATTCAGTGAGTAATTCAGTGAATCATCAGGAGATCAACAGAAATCAGGTCACAGTTATTATTATTTTTTAGTTATTATAGTTATTATCACAGTTATTATAATTATTTTTCTTTATTTAGATTTATAGGAAAACTGTCAGCCTAATCTAATTAGAATTGCTTTAATTTTAATTAAGAATGTATTTATTGCCATCATAATGTGACGATAAAACAAAGCAATTAGCTTAATGAGAGAATTGGTTAGTTTGATACCAAAATTATGTGTCTGAGTATATATTAGAATGCCACACAGAAAACTGTGGCGTTCCTGGAGGTAAGTTTATATCTGCATCCTTCTTGAATTTAGGGATCTGTGTTAAATATGTAACTTTGTCAACAAAGGTGAGATTAAAAAAAAAAAAAAAAAACTTTCACCATGATGACAGTTAAACAGTTTTAATTCTAAACACACTGTTACCAAGAAAAATGTACCTCTGCAAAATATTGATGCACTAATAATGTGTTAACCTGAAAACACTTTTAATAAGACCACAAAGTGTTGAGTTTCAGCCCATTTGCCCCTAATCACTGCATTTCGATGTTTATTATTGTGTTTTCATGTTCAGTCATTTTTGTCACTTTCGAATACTCATGGCATCTCTATCCTGTTCCTGTTTCCCTCTCTTACTCCGTTAAATTTCTGTCATCTCTCTGCTTTCGCTGTCAATAAAAATGCCAAAAAGCCCCTAAAACAACTCTATTGTCAGTGTGAGGGAACGGGAAAAGACCTTTGGAAGGGAAACAATGCTCTGTTGTCACGGTAACAGCAAGTGCTGCTCTTTCAGCCTGTGCAGGTCATGTTTTTAAAGAGCTTTTGATTCCACCATTAGTTTTTTTCAGCCATTTTATTTGCTTTTAGTGCTGAGCAGGGAGTTTTTCTTGACTGTAAATGTCTCATGCAGATCCACATTTGGTGGGGTTCTCTGTGTTTGACCCGTGTCTGGCACATTTCTTGCCTGGCACTCTTCCAGATTTTCTCTCTCGGTTTCATAAATCAGATTTAATTGCGTCCCAAGTGTCCTTTGTTTGTTTCCCGCTCAAGGATTGATTAGCTCAGCCTGAATGAATTCCTCTCTCTGTGTCTTTTTCTCTAGTTTGGGAACACGTGCTACTGTAACTCAGTGTTGCAGGCTCTGTATTTCTGCCGGCCGTTCAGGGAGAATGTGTTGGCTTATAAAGTCCAGCAGAAGAAGAAGGAGAACCTTCTCACCTGTCTGGCCGACCTCTTCCACAGCATCGCCACACAGAAGAAGAAGGTGGGCGTGATCCCTCCCAAGAAGTTCATCTCACGTCTGCGGAAGGAGAATGGTGAGGGAACCAAGGGATCGAGGTTTGGCTGGTTAACATGGCCTAGTTAACCACTGCTGGTAGATACTGTAACTACACCGTTATGAAGGCAAAATGCATCTTTCTGCATTGACTTTCATTCAAAAGTAGCTGTGTATTTTGGTCAAATAAATTATTTTGCAACATCTAATATTATATATTTATATATACATATATTTAGTTCAAAATCTTGGGGTTAGTAAGAGTTTTTTTTTAAGAAATTAACATTTTTATTCAGCAAGAATATGTTAAATTGGTCAAAAGTGACACTAAATGCAAATCATGTGACACTGAAGACTGAAGTAATGGCTGCTGAAAATTTAGCTTTGCCTGCATAGGAATAAATTACATTTTAAAATATATTCAAATAGAAAACAGTTTATTTAAATTGTAATAACGTTTCAGAATAGTTTACATTATTTTTGATCAAATAAATGCAGAATTGGTGAGTATAAGAGACTTTTTACCCAAAACAATTATAAAAAATCTTGAGTGGTAATGTATTTTGAAGGGCTTTTAATAGCATTTAATGGATGTCGCAGATTATTTTTTAAATTTATTTATTTAAATTCCTTATTTTCAATTTACATTTTTCTGGATTCCATTTTTTATTAAATTTTAATAGTCAAAAAGTCTAATCATAAAAAATTCATTTTATTTTTTTCACAAATTCCATTTTAATATTTTCAGGGTACTAAGTTTTATGATTTAATACAAATTTATCATCGGAACTGTGGTAATCAAATTAATTCATAAAACTTTTTTATTTTGCCAAATTCCGCATTAATGTCTATAATAGCTAAATTCTGTCTGTGTGTTCCGCATCTTGGAAATCATAGGGCCCTAATTCCTGTGGGTGCCAGGAACCAAGTGCCCATTAGCAAATTGGCAGATTACAAATGACGCACTTTCATTGTGTAACCTTCATGAATGGTAACGGACTGGTCAGAAATTTGCGGAAACAAGATGTTTTCAATGTTGACTGAATGAATGATACATTCACAAAAGTAAGACATTGAACAGACTGTATTTCTTTTTCATTTTTCCTTCAGATAAAGTTAAATATGGTTTCCACTCTTACTAAGCATCTGTTTACTGCTAATTTGTCATACCAGAATCCCACAAAACTGCTAAAATATTTTCAGATACATTTGGTTGACATTTTGTTAAATATATGCAGTTGTTTATGAGAAATGTAAAATCTTGTGTATCCAATATATGCAAAGTGTTTGCTGGTAAAGGTGTCAACATGAGTTTGTAGGCAACTACTAGAGCAGTATCTAGCGTTCAGACAGGAGACTGTGAAAAATCAAACCTGTCCATGATAACAGAAAGCCTCTGTGTGATATACTGAAGGAGAAGCAAGTGTAACAGATCGTGTGTGTGTGTGTGTTTTGAGGGAGAGGGGAGGGATATTATGTAGCATAAAAGAGGATTTGTTCTTCTGTTTCATTCCAGAAAATGCCCTCGCTATGAATGAACAATACAGACCTCTGTCAGAGAGACGTACCTTCACCAGCTACACACACATACTCACTCACACAGAGTTAGCTTTATGATTGCAAATGCTAGACAAAAGTTAATTACTTTTTAGTAGAGTTAACTGGAACAGACTGAAAAATACAGGACTTGTGCTAAAGAAGCCAAATTTACGAGACCATGTCAGATGTTATGAAATATGCTATTGAAAAATAATCTTGTCAAACACTTTTGAAGATTTCAGACTTTCCCCATTCCATTAGATTTGACCTATCCTTATACGTCCCAATTGTGATTTACAGTGATTCTATCTTCAGTTGTTGCTTATAATAAATACATTGTCATGCATTGGTGTGGATGCTAATATAGTTATTGTTATACTTATCTTTATATTTCTTGGTGTGAATGGCCTTTTAGTCTACAGATAGTTCCTTCACAGTCATTTGCAGGATTGCTAGCTAATGTTACACGTTTTGCTGTCTGGCTCTTCCTATAGACCTGTTTGATAACTACATGCAGCAGGACGCCCACGAGTTCCTGAACTACCTGCTGAACACGGTGGCTGACATCCTGCAAGAGGAGAAGAAACAGGAAAAACAGAACGGACGACTGAAGAACAACGGCACTGCCATCGCCACGGACACCGAGCCAGAACAGAACAAGGCCGAGCCCACCTGGGTTCACGATATCTTCCAGGGCACGCTGACCAATGAGACACGCTGTCTCAACTGTGAGACGGTAAGAGTGTTGCTATGTGCAATAAGTACTAATAAACAGCCAATATGTTATTAATAGGCATGCTAATAAGCAACTCGTTAATATTGAGAATTGGTCCCTATACTAAAGTGTTACGGCATTTTATTTTATTGTATTCTTTTGCTTTTATTTAATACAGCTATGGAAGCCAGTTTCTGCCAATGGATTAAAAAAATAGCGGTAATTGCGATTTTTTAACACAAAATTATGGGATATAAACTCAGAATTATGAGATATGAACTCAGAATTGTGAGACTTAAACACAGAATTATGAGACATAAACTCAAGATATAAACTAAAGATATTAAATTTAATTCTAAGATAAAAAGTTACATTTTTTTTTTTTATTCCATGGCCGAAACAAGAATCTTAATTGCAAGAAGTAAACTTGGAATTCAGAGAAACAATATCCAAATTCTGAATTTATATCTTTTAATTCTGTGTATACTTAAAAAAGCCTGAATCATAAAGCAATATATCGAATCTAATACATTTTTTCAGGATACTTTTTTTTTTTTTTATTATTAATTATTATTCATTTTTTTTGTCTCGCAGAATATACTGAAATATATGCAGCATCTTCAGGGACATACTAAATAAAATGTGATATTTAAAAATTAAATGTGTAATAAACACTTTTATGCCTATTTTTAATATTAATGAAAAATAATATATAGTTAATAAAATTCTAATCATCTAAATTCTGTAAAGGATATGTAAATGTATGAGCAAAGCTGTATTTTATTTTTTTTAAATATCTGAGTGCTCTTCTGTTAGACAGACACAAAGGATTGTTTGATTTTTTTTTATTTTTTTTTTATTGTGAGTTGTCTTATACAACGACATTCGGTCAATCCTTTGAATTTTGCAGCCTGAGGAAAAAAACTACCATCTCTCTATCGTGTGACCCACTTTTCAGTCTTTTCTGTTGACTAACCTACTTTTTCTTCGCATTAACACATTGCCGCTAGACTACAGTTGAGTGCTAACACGCCGTTACACGCCTGTGCTCTCACACATCCTCACTCGTGGCTTTCTGCAATAAGTGCAAGACAACAGGAGACAATCAGGTCAACAGAGTGCAACCCGTTCGCCAGCTGAAACTGTTCGTAGAAAGGGGTCGCCAACATGCGTGATAAACATCTTTGTAGAAATTAGTCCCCACTAACTCTCTGCCCCTTGAAGATGCTTGACAGCTAATATTGTCTCTGTGGGTGGCGAGATCACGCTTTCTGAAGAGATGTGTTCTCTTCTTTCTCAAATGCTTTGTGAACTCACATGTCCTTTTGTTTTTACAGGTCAGTAGCAAGGATGAAGACTTTTTGGATTTGTCTGTAGATGTTGAGCAGAACACTTCAATAACACACTGTCTCAGGTAGACATATAAAAACACTGTAACATAACAGTAGTCAAGCATGCTTATGTACACAACCAGTTGTTTTCCTCTGTGTTTATGCTCTTTGATAGATGTGTTTTTTCTGGTGGCTTTTACAGGGGCTTCAGTAATACAGAGACCCTGTGCAGTGAGTATAAATACTACTGTGAGACGTGCTGTAGCAAACAAGAGGCACAGAAACGGTGAGAGTCATTGTGTCGGATGTGTATTGATATAGTGTGGTAGTGCATGTAAGGTTTCAGAATGACATACTACTATACCTATGCGAATAACATGAATAAGGTTTTATGCAAATGTTGCAAACTTTCCCAAAAAATGACTAGTTAATCAAGACTCATTAATTAACCTACATTTTGTGTTCCAGTCATTTTGACCTGAAGAGGATTTTTTTTCACAAAAATGCTAATGTTATTGCATTTGATTAAAACATACAGACTTTGCTCATATAGGATATTCCCCCCAAATAACTGATAATGTTTGTACCTTTTTAGGATTTTTTTCCTACCTTGTTTCCTAGGATTTTTTGTAGGCCAGTCAAAATTACTTGTAAATCTCACATTATGCTGGGTTTTTTTTTTTTTGTCAAATATTGGATTCAATCTTTTTTTCAACTTGTTTTCTTTTAGGTTTTGTATTTCTTTAGGGTTCAAAAACTGAGATTCAAGCTCAGATCAATGAGATCCAATCAGTTCCAATAAGAAATACGAAACCATTGAAAATTCTTCGAAAGAAAAGTAGATTAAATCCAAGATTTGCTGATAATATAGCATATTGAAATATTTAAAAGCAATTTTTTAAAGACTAGTAATTTGTGGGGGGGGGGAAACCCCACCAAACTAGATAAAGGATTTTCAGCATAGCGCAAGGGTTAAGCTGAAATGCTGTAAAAGTGGAGTAACTTATTTAGTGAATTCACCCTGTACTATTTTAACAGTACATTTACTGTGCACATGATTAGTAAACATTATTTTAACATTGTTTTAATCATTGTTTGATCAGAGTGCCACAAGTTTAGACATTTTAGTTTAGACACAAAAATAAAAAAAACAGGAAAGAAATTATGTTTAAGATAATAACAATGGGAGAATTACATGAGCAAAATTTTGAAGTCATGTTACAAAATGTTGCATATATTGTTTGCAACATCTAACATTGCTTACTTTTGCACATGCTATTTTAAAAGATGGTTGTTTACACTACACAGTATATATGGTATAGTATACTAGTATTCCAATTACAAACCATTCCAGGATAGGTTTGTGTGTGTCATTTGATTTAATAATGAAGCTTTTGAGGCCTGTATTAAACAGTGCAATTAACAAAGTACTTTTTTTTGTGAAAAAAAAAATGCTTTGGTGCTGCTCTATACACTGCAGTGTGAATTTCTACGTGCCAGTGATTTGTTTTGTGTGCATGTTGCAGTATGCGTGTGAAGAAGCTGCCCATGATCCTGGCTCTTCATCTGAAGCGCTTTAAGTACATGGAGCAGCTGCATCGGTACACTAAACTGAGCTATCGTGTGGTCTTTCCACTGGAGCTCCGCCTCTTCAACACCTCCGGAGACGCGGTCAACCTCGACCGCATGTACGACCTCGTCGCTGTGGTGGTCCACTGTGGCAGGTATGAGAACTGTCAAACATGTACATCTGCAACATATAAAAACAAACGGTCTTAACACAGTCTGCCATGTCGGTACATTAAGTCATATGCTATAAATACTGACCATATAAGCCTCAACAAACTATGGTGCAAATATATTTGTCGTAGTGTGAATGTACACTATAATGGTAATGTTTTTTCTTAAGAGTGAAGCAGAATAAATTAATCAGAAAAGAGATAGGTTTAAAAAAAATTAAATTAGGATTTTATCTGGGATTTTTTATGTGTTTTTGAATATTTTATGGTAAAATAGTATCCATTGAAGAGAGAAGAAATATCCATTGTCTAGATATTTAAAAAATAAATTGATTTCCTTCAAAAGTTTAAACACTGCCTCTGTAACTGTGTGTATTAGTGGCCCAAACAGAGGGCATTACATCACCATTGTGAAGAGTCATGGCTTCTGGCTGCTGTTTGATGATGACATTGTTGAGGTATGAATCTTATATACATATATATAAATATCTGTTCAAAATTTTGGGGTCAGTGAGATTTTTTTTTTTTTATTAATACTTCTCGCAAGAATTCAGCAAGGATGTATTAAATTGATCAAAAGTGACAGTAAAGAAATGTATAATGTTACAGACGATTTCTATTTCAAATAAATGCTGTTCTTATGAACTTTTTATCCAATTTATGGTTTTCACAAAAATATTGAGCAGCACAACTGTTTTCATCGTTGATAAGAAGAAGAAATGTTACTTGAGCAGCAAATCAGCATATTAGAATGATTTCTGAAGGATCATGTGACACTGAAGACTGGAGTAATGATGCTGAAAATTCAGCTGTCCTATCACAGGAATTAATTATATTTTAACATATATTCAAATAGAAAAGTTATTTTTAATTGCAATAATATTTAACATTTGCACTGTATTTTTTATCAATAAATGGAGCTTTGATGACCATAAGAGACTTCTTTTAAAAACATTTAAAAAACATTCCCCAAATTTTTGAATGGTAGCATATAGTCAAAATATAAACCCTAATGCATGCATAATACAACGCTTCTCTTTCCTGCTTTTTCTCAACATTTTTTCTCTATCTATTCCTTTCCATTTCTCTTACAGAAAATTGATGCACAGGCGATAGAGGAGTTCTACGGTTTGACTTCTGACATTTCCAAGAACTCTGAGTCGGGATATATCCTGTTCTATCAGTCCAGAGAATGAAGGAGCAGAGGGGGAACAAATGAAGAGCAGAGGAGGATCAAAAGGAAGGGTATTTGTGAAGATGACATCCGCTAGATTCCTTTTCCACATCCCTCTCCTTTTCCTCATCTCATACTCAGGGTCTCCAGCTGAGACTGAGTGCCAAAAGCCCTCTGTAATCCCATGTGCCAGTATGACATTTCCCAATCTCGCTGCACTCTGCGGGGGAAAAACACATCTTCAAATCTGACCCTCAAGTCAGTCACCTGCATCTGGAAGGCACTTTATTAACAACAATAAGTAACACAAAAGCAACACAAAAAAAAAAAATCACAACATGTTTAACTACAATACTTGTGAAAACTTGAAGGAATCAAAAAGCTACAAAAGGAGCAATGAGTCCTGGTAGTCTAGCAAGGGTCACTGCTTCTGTTCGTTCAACACCCAGGAAAGTGCCTCTCATCCTGGGTATCTGAAACCAGGAGGAGGGATTCTCTCTCTCGGATCTCTGGCTCAAGGTCAGGGACTCGTTTCGGGTCACTTTAGATGTTCCATACTGTGATGCCCACTCATCAGTCCTCCTTCGTATGACTCTTACCCAGTAGCTGGTTGAATCCGCACATCCTAGTCCAGTCCTGGTCATCAGAGGGGCTGTTTGCACTGTGTGACAATTTGTTTTGGAGTTTGGCATGTTGTGGGAATGAGATTATGATTCTGAGCGGTCTGTTACATGAGTGAGTGTGTGTGTGTGTCTGCATTTAGTCATGCAGGCAGCTGCTGTGAAGTGACTTTGCTTTTCATCCAGAAATAGTTGCAGTCTTGTTACCGAGAGTTGTCCTATTGAATTCTTTGCTCTCTTCGAGTAACAAAGAAAAAGGGCAGAACTGCAAGGCTGATGAAATGCTGCTTTTGTCTCCCTTATCTAACACTGTTGTTACCTAACTTCCATTGTAGGTAATGGCCTTACTTACTTAGTTACAAGTGTTAACAACCTTGCAGTCAGCTCTTGTTGTTAGGTTCACCCAAATCTGCTGGTCCCGACTGACTTCATCCCACAAAGCAGTCTGCTTCAGTCTCACCTTTAGTTCCTGCTTTACTTCCTCCAGTTGGCTTGAATACATCTTTTTTTCTCCTAAATAGATGTTGTAACTTGGTCCCTGGTCATTTTTTACAAAGCAAAATAATGTGGCATTTCATTTTATCATTACTTTGAATGAATGAATGAATGATGCATTTATATAGCGCTTTTATTGTGTATTGTTGTACACCCAAAGCGCTTTACAATCATGTGGGGGGGTCTCTCCTCAACCACCACCAGTGAGGTGTGGTTGTGAAGTTTCACCAGTGAAAGTCTCCTCACCCACTTTGAGGTGTTAAAGGAGTAGTTCACCCACAAATTCGCTGAAAATGTACTCACCCTCAGGCCATCCAAGATGTGGATGAGTTTGTTTCTTCATCAGAACATATTTGGAGAAATTTAGCATTAGACTACATCACTTGCTCACCAATGGATCCTCTGCAGTGAATGGGTGCCGTCAGAATGAGAGTCCAAACAGCTGATAAAAACATCACAATAATACGTAATTCACATGACTCCAGTTAACAACTTGTGAAGTGTAAAGATAAAGTGTAAAGTGAGTTTGTAAAAAAACAAATCCATCATTAAGATGTTGTAATTTCAAAACATTGCTTCCGGCTAGAATACAATGTCCATAATATTTGCTTTAACAATTGAAATAAATCAGGAGAGAAATATGAACGGATCAAACACCATTTACAAGTCAAAGCAATTATAAGCAAATATGTCAGTGAATTTTGATGGAAGCGTTATGAAATATATAGACTCGTATTTTAGCTGGAAGCAACAGTTTGAGTTTAAAACGTCGATGAATTTATTACTAACATGCAGCTTTTTGCTAGACAAGAAACTACTTACTGGACTGGAGTCGTGTGGATTTCTTGTGGATCATTGTTTTTATCAGCTGTTTGGACTCTCATTTGTTCTGATGAAGAAACAAGCACAACCACTTTTTGGATGGCCTGGGGGCGAGTACATTTTCAGCAAATGTTCATCTTTGGGTAAACTATTCCTTTAATACATGAAAGTCTTGAACATGTGAGATCAGTGGTAGGAGAAACTTGAAATGCACCAGTCTTGAGATTACTGCAATGCGGTCAGTAAAGTTTAGGTTTAGGGCTTATCGAAGTATCTGATAGGTTGTCGCTGTTACGATAAGAACATGCGCACAATTACTTCAATTTAGTGATGTGAGTGGCTTTTATCTGAGAGGGCTTTTACTGTTTAATATACGTTGTTCAGTCAGGAGAGAATCTGACTTCGGATAAATGGGGAACTTCATAAAAGACAGTACGGAAACGTTCCGCTAATCCTGATTTTTAACATTTAATTTTGTATATAAATGGGAGAGACTGACTTGAAATAGTCTCCGAAGGGAAACAAGGTGCAATACAGGGACAAGATAAACATTCCATATTCATTTGACACCAAAAAAATTTTTTTTACACTTTTTTTTTTTTTTCAGAAACACAACTGATCGGTACTCCCGTTTATTTAGTGTATAGATTTCTTTTATGTTTTTATTTAAGGCAAATGTTTAATTTACCGTTTTATTCTCTCAGAAATAATGTGTTACTCTGAGTAAAAGTAGCCCACAACCGAAATACATGATTTATGTATTTGCCTTTTTTGTCCGTCCACACAACATTCAGCACAACAGTATAGTAAGTGATTAGGGAAAAAAACTAGAGGAGGTTTAATGGTGTCGATTCATCCATTCTAGGTTTGTGTTACCTGTATTTTCACACTCCTCAACCAACATTATAATGTGTAATTATATGTTAAAGCCACACTACATGCAATATAGATGTATGAACACTGTGTAACAACACAATGTGGGATCGACTATGCAGTGTTTGTGTTTGTCCTGTTGTTTCCTGAGGCTCGACAGATGCTGACTGATTATTTGGACGGTTGTTCTTTCATTTGCAGTTTCCCAGTGATGCCAGCAAAGTTTTGTTTCTCAAATAGAGGAGCATATGTGGTTGTTTGAAGATGTTTTATTGGTACTAAGACCACGTTTCTCTTCCATGCCTGTTCTTTTGTTTCGTTAGTGATCAAAATTAACAGAAATGTGCCAAAATTGTGGTGGGAAACTCACAGTCCTTCGAACTGGAAAATGAAATAGATATTTCTGTGTCATGAAACTGTACATAAATATTATGTAGACATATTGGTTAGAAATAAATTCTATTTTTAAAACACTAGATGATTCTATTCAAATTGACCTGTTATTCGCATGGGGAGGGGAAGACATGGTTGCAAATGAAGAAATTAAAAGCTGATGAGTGTTTGTCAGAGATGGTATGATCTCAATCAGGTCCCTTATGGTGACCTGGATGATTTTGAAGTTTGTTCTGTAGAGTAGCCTAAACTAAAAGTACTGTAACTACTTAATACTGTGGATTGAATCCTCACACACACATACATGAACATCTGGATATGTTAAAAACCAATTAGACTGTCAGTTACACACCTTGTATGCAAAAACACACCTGTCTGTTTTGTCATCTTTTATTGTGTGTATTTTTTTAGGTCCAGAAAAAAAGAGATGTACAATGTGTGTGTTTGTGTGTCTGAGAGAGAAATACCAGGACTCAAACTCTAATGGAAAGTGTGATAACTGTAAGTGCACTTTATCATAGCAGAACCAAAAAGGTTTCTCGTAGGAACTGGAATCCTGACTGAGATTCTTTTGGTTTATTTTCCTTTCCTCAATAAATGAAACACACCTTTACCAGCTGTGGCTCAGCGGTGCTTTTTATTCATTTGTTTGTTTGTTTTTGTTCTCTGTGTGTTCCTTTTAATTATTCTGACACACATCTTTTTTTTTTTCCTCTTTGGGGTGACTAATAAGACGGAACATGGCAATTTTGTACAAAGACACAAAAGGCCTTGGGCAGAGAACAGGAGGGAGAGGGAGTGAAAAGAGAGAAGAATAGACTCATCGAACGATTGAAATAACGAGAAATGAAAAGCTTGTTTACGGAAAGTCCTTTATGTGCCTAAAATGCTGATGCATCAACAGCAACAAACATTTTTAGGTATTTCCTAAGGGAGATGTGTGACTTCCTGTGTGTGTGTTTGTGTGTAAAAGCAATTGGCGTGTGTGACGTCTTTATACACATAAAAATAAAAGAACACCTGCGACAGAGCGAGTCGGAGAGGAAGGAGTCATGTTCTTCTAGATAATCAATGTCTTTTGTTTTTACGTGTGTGTGTGTGTGTGTGTTGTAAGACCCCAACAGATGTGTGAACATGTATGCATCATAGTATGTGCGTCACATGCTGATCAGTGTGTGTGTGTGTGAGTCCTTGACAAATGTTTCTTTTATACATCCGCTTGTTTGTTGAACATAAACTGGTTTAATCAAGCAACGCTCTGTCATATTCCTGTGTGATGGAGGGATTTGCTTTTGTTCTCCAGCTGTCTGCTGTCTTTTCACCTGACACTCTCCACAGCTAGAGGGGAAGCAGGGTTCATTGTAACACTCAATAAAGGCAACATTTGGGAAAAAATATTGTGCACAATGCACTCAACGGTGACAACGCTGGGTCTGTACATGCACAGTTCAGTCCTCAACCTCCTCCCAAAACAATGGACAGACAGTTTGTAATGAGGAATACGGATAATACAAATAAAATAAAACATTTTCAAAGTAATTTTTGGTTTTAAAGTAATACTTTTATTTACAATAGATAAAATTATGCATAATTTAAAACAGTAATATATGCATTAGTTATGTTTTTTTCTGTATTTGGTCACAAAATTCACTTCTTTATGAATGTAGCAACTCTAAATCAGTGGAACTGAATGCTGTTAATGTTGGGTATTGTATAAATTATTGTTTTCTCTGTTTTTATGCAGGTCTCCTTGGGGATGTTTATTAGAATTACCATAATTAATTTATTCATGTTTTTAATGTTTATTAAAAAAGCTTTTGTTTTGCCCATTTGTAAATATTTTTGTCTTGTTTGCTTGCTTGCTGTGAAAGCCTGTCCTTCATAACTTTTATTAACTAGATATGGCAAATGATTTTTCAAATTATAGAGGGTTTTCATTTACAGTGATCACACATAGCACCATTGCAATTATGCCGCATGGGTATTATAAATGTAACTTTGGCCTTCATAAATGTCTAGGTTAATAGCATCTGACGCTTTAATGTCTTTTTTTCTTTTCTGTGCTTATTTATGATTTAGTTCTATTCCCCGATGATCTCGGTTCATTCATTCATGTCT